ATAAATAAAATAAATAAAATAAATAAAATAAATAAAATAAATAAAATAAATAAAATAAATAAAATAAATAAAATAAATAAAATAAATAAAATAAAAAAATAAATAAGCTAAATATAAAAAATATAATTATATTATAATTAAAAATATATTATACTTTATATATTATTTATATAAAAAAGATATATATATTATTAATTAATTTATAGTTAATAATCTATTTATTATACCTAATTTTTCTAATTAGTAAATATAAATGATTAAAGTATTGCGGTAGACGATTATCCGCTGTGACGCACGAGTACTTTGACGAGCAACCGTGGTCATTCCCGGTACCAACACCGAAAAAGTTGCAAGCTTATTGGAATGACCATTTGACGGGGCATTGAGGTGCCACGTCCTCTAGCCACACAGCGAATCCGTTCTTACCGTGGAAGCTCCATGCAACCCACAATCTCCAGTACATCAGCACAGAGGCTCCTGGACACTTATGCTGATCACCACGTCTCCCCGCGATATTTTGCCCTGGCTATTGTGGCGATTACGTTGCAAACGCTGGCCGATATTCGAGTCGTCTTACTCGGATGCCCATACATCAACCGCCCCAATGAAGCAGGCGCAGACACGATCGGGCTTCATCTTGAACCGCTTCCTCTTCGCTTCACCTTGCCAAATTCTTCAGAACCAACACGGATAGTTGAACGTCTGCTGCAGGCAGTGGGGACGACGGCTCAGGCTGCTGTCGCGCACGCGGTCCCGTGGCATGCGTTGTTGGCCCTGTTGGGACTCCCGTTTCCCTCCGGCCACGAGGCCCTGTTTGACTACGCCGTCACCTTTTGGGAATACCGGGGTGTGAAGGATAGCCAGCGGCTCCCAGACACTGAGGGACTGGTGCCGCTCCCAGTATCTCCCAACGGCGCCATCTTTGCCCTCCTGTTCGAGTGGCGCTTCACCGACGACGAGCAGGGTGTGTCGCTGCGGCTCGGGTATGACACGGATCTCCTCTCCCCTGCTTTGATGAATGAGCTGAGTCGGGTGCTATGCGTTGCTCTGGATAACATGCTTGATCTTGAGAAGCAGACGCGGTTGCGACACGTGCTACGACAAGCCCTAGATGACGCTTGTCTGCGCGCGGGGTTGAAGCCTCTCTCTGTGCGAGAGTTGGCGCGCAAAAATTTGATCGAGACTGTTTCCGGCGATGTCTGATCTCTTTCTAAGTATTCATTGATGTACTGTGCAATTGAGACGTTTGTGCTCATTAGTTGAATCAAAATAGTTTTTACTCTGCCATGGATGAACCGCGTTCTTGAGTTGGACCCCAAATAGCTCGAAGTGGTGATAATTGGTTGTCTGATGCTAACCCTATCTGGCCACTGGAGTTGAGATGACCTGGGCCGGTGATGTCAAGGTTTGTTCCTCCTTTTGGTGAATAATACAGGGCAGGTTGACTCATTGTCGAGGAATAGGAGCCACCAACGATTAAAAATGTGTAAAGCCTCCACACCCCACAGGCCATCACATGTACCAAACATCAACAACCTCACAATGACCATCCCCAGCCTGGCGTCTCTGCCGCCAGAGATCATTCACCGCGTACTTTATTTCACGGACCTGTCCTCGCTTTGCGAACTTTCCCTCACCAATCGCTACATCGGCGCAATCAGTCAAAAAGAGCTGCTCAAGGTGGTGACCGTGTACCCCCGGAAAGAGAGTCGAGAAAGATTCCAGGCGATTCTCGAGGACGAGACCCGGGCACGACTGGTGGACAGGCTGTATCTGGATGTCAGCGCTTGGGCCGGTGTAAATGCCCTGTCCCTCCCATTCACCCTGAACCCTGTACTCATTGACATAGTATTATACGCAAGAAAGATATATCAATCAAAGCATTCGCGACAAGCAGATTCTCCAGTTACGCAGATTCATGAAGCTCGTCCCGCGCCTGAAGGAGCTCCCCCGTCTACGAAGCATCGTGCTTCGCTTTCATCAGGGCTGTTATGTCGAAGATACCTGGAATGACGCCCATCAGAATGCTGCGTTCCGCTCCTGCGTGATGAGTGAATTTATCTTGGCGTTGGCGTCCCTTGACGAGCCTGTCAAGGAGCTCGCCCTGTGCAACCTCCAGAACATCAACCCGACGGGCCCGGAGGTGGTCCGGAATCTCACCAAGATTTTAGGCAGTCTGCACGCACTGCGGCTGAATATCACGAATGAACATGACGAAGGAAACGGGGAAAACGATCTTGAGGTGAGACGCTCTCATTCTTTCTTCTTGCCCTTGGCTTCTCGCATCGCTTCCTCAGGCTCTGACCCAAATCTCAGCAAAACGAACCGCACAAATTCTTTCCCGAGCTTCCCTCCTTCTGGCTGGCCCCGGCGGCCGCGACCCTCGAACACCTCACCATCTATTCCAGCAACTACTTCGGCTTCTACCCCAAGCTGGAGCTGCGTGAGGTCCACCTCCCGCGCCTGAAGACGCTCGCCCTGGGTAAATACGCATTCGTTCACGACTCCCAACTCGAGTGGATCCTCTCGCACAGCAGAACCCTGACCGAGCTCTACCTCGACGACACCCCTATCCTCTTCGAGGTCTCCGTCTACAACAACGACCGGGCCTGCCTGGAACCCGGCCGATATACCCACAAAGCTGGGCTGGGCAATAAACACTTCGCGACATACGACAAGCGCTGGCACCACTACTTCCGGGCCTTTCAGGTGAGGCTTCCCCACCTGCGTCATTTCAGCTACGGGCGCTCGGAGCCGTGGTGGGCGGAGGACATGACGCCCTTTGAGCGCGAGACGGAGATCACGGTTGGGATGCATGACGAAAGTTACATGGTCTTCTGCGACGGATTCGGGCCGACACCGTATATGAATACCACGATCTATGACACCGACGACGAGGAGCCGTCCTATGAGGGTGATGGCGTGGATTGCATGGAGGAGGATCAGCAGGCGTTGGAGGAGCTGCTGGAGAAAATTGGGCAGCGGCTCGAGGTGCTGGATTAAAGGCGCTGCCGTAGAGACGTCTTGCGGGCAGCTTGCCCAGGACGTCAGCCAATATATATGCTAGGAATGAGCTTCTTCCTCGTTGCGTCAGTGAATCCAAAATGGCATGATCTCTTTCCTAAATCAAGAAAGCAAATCCTGGGGATTTTGATGGCCTATCTTCTGGATTGACTTGCTGGAGTCCAGACATTGTGTACGGAACAAGTCCACGGTGAGCACCTGACAGGAGCCAAAATCCTTTGGAGCAAACAATCGGCTAGATCAGTGTCTTGACATTCTGTCAGCCGAGCGATGCAACGCTGTCATCAAAACCCCCATGATGTGGGCCTTGGCGCCTGGGGCAACCAGAAGATAGCTATCACGTGTCTCCAAAAACCTGACCCCGAGTAATGCTGCCTCAGGCATGAATACATCATGCCTCCCTGGTATATGGCTTTGTCCTCTGTCTTTCCTCTCACATTTATGACCGTGTCTTGTGAGCTATTTGACACGGGATCTGACCGCAAAGACGACTTCCCAATGTTATCGCAGCGCAGGTGCACTAGACAAAGGCTCGCGGGATCCTTCTTGTCACTCGCAGTGGCGGCGCATACCGATGTACGGATGATCTCTCTGATGGAGATAGGCTATGATGATCGACACTCCATTATATCATAGGCGAAGCAGAGTGGCATACATACACGGGATCTTTCAGGTGGCGAGGTTTCCGCAAGCTCGGCGGAGTGGGTCTTGGGCGCGACCGATTAACCCGAGATAAAATCTTTATATCCGTGTCTCAATAAAACCGCAATCGAGATCCACAGCAAAGATCACCAGGTGGCTTGCTTCCACCCTCAGCGTTCGGAAATCCGGATGTCTCAAAACGCCTCGGTCTCGAAATCGGCATGCCGACCACCCCTGAGACTCTATGATTTGCGCAACGATTCTCGGGATGTTGAGTCGGCAGTGAGCTGACACGAGCATATATCTGTTAAGACCATGCGAAGACCTGCGTAAGCCCCCAAAAATATTTACCATGGTTGACATTCAACTCACCACCGGGCGAGCTCTAGTCTCTTACGGTCCTTCCAAGGATGGAGGCTGGAAGCTGCGCGACGTTGCTCTGCGACCCATCCGTGAGCATGAGCTGCTGGTCGAGGTCATTGCTCAGGCGTCTGCCAAGCTGACCTGCATTTCGCCGGGCTGGAAAGTGGCCACGGCGTGCATTATCCGCGGGTGATGGGCCACGAAGGTATTACCCGTGGTCCCCCTACGTTACATGTCTTCACGGGTGTACTTGAACACGATCCTGACAGACCGCCTTCTCATATAGGAGCGGGATACGTCCGACAGGTCGGACCCGGTGTCACTACAGCACACGTCGGCGACCCAGCCCTCATGTCTTTCTCCTCTTGCCAGACATGCCGGTGCTGTCGCCGTGGCCACCCCGCCCACTGCCACAATTTCGACCCCATCAACTTCGAGTCGACGTGCACGGACCGCGTCTTCTGGGAGGAGGGAGCAACAACACCACAAACACGCGAACCAGACATCTTCGGCCGATTCTTTGGACAATCGAGTTTCGCTAGTTGGACGATCGTGCAAGAGTCCGCGGTGATCAATGTGGCGGGCATGGTCGAGAAGGAGGAGGAGTTGCAGCTGCTGGCCCCGCTGAATGCGGGATCCAGACGGGAGCAGGAGCGGTTCTCAATGCGGCGGGCGCACGGCGTGATGATACGGTCGCGGTGCTTGGATTGGGAGGGGTGGGCTTGAGTGCCGTGATGGGCGCGCGCATCGCTGGTTGTCAGACGATTATCGGGATCGCCCGGAACGAGGCCCGTCTCAAGCTGGCCCTCGAGCTGGGAGCAACGCATGTGGTTCGGATTGACCCCGATGCAGATCTCAGCCTCGTCACGCAGGCTGTGCGTGCGCTCACCGGTGGGCTTGGGGTCGATGTCACGCTGGAGACTACAGGGGTGCTGGAGCTGGTGGCCGAGGCGGTTGATATGACGGTCAACAAGGGCAAGATTGTGCAGCTGGGGGCAGCGCCCGAAACGGCGACTGTCATTATCCCGATCCACGAGTTCATGGTGGCGGGAAAAGTGTTCATGGGTGTCGTGGAGGGGGATGTGGTTCACCGAGAGTTCGTGCCGAAGATGATTGGGTTTGGTAAAGTCGGGGCTCTTACCCTTGCATAAGGTTGTTGGACTTTATCCGGCGGAGAACTTTGAGGAGGCGATCCGGAATATGAAGAGTGGAAGGACGATCAAGCCGATTCTTCTGTGGTAGCTAGTTTGATTTCTGGCAGAATAAATGCTCAGAGGCCCCAAACAGGATTTGTATATTTGAGCTAGCCTGGATCGCTACCCATGCATTGCCTCGTGACGGGCGATGCGATTCTCCTGTAGTTTCACATCGATCAATGGTGATAGAATATCGCTCAAACATAACTAGCTACCTGACACCTCTGTGGACCCAACCTTCGCGGAACGGCTCGTGCATCCAAATCCTGCAAAGAACAAGGCTTGTTCAAGCCCGCCGTGGCTGGCAGATCCATTCTTCTTGTAGTGCTCAAGTGCTACCAAGATCCCCCAAAAGACCTTGTCCCCGAGGTACTTGGTTCATTCAACTTTTTCCTGTTCGCCAAGAAACCACAGCCACCAACAATGCAGGAAACGACGATCCGTGAGGGGTAGGTCAGCCAACAACTGGCCAAGCCCCTTGCCTAGCTAATTCGTCAATTACCATGATTTGGAATGCTGGAATGCCATTCTGACTCGATTGGCTACGATACATTCGGTGGAAGGACCTTTCAGAAACCAAACCGACGAGAATTACACCAACCTCATGTCAGCTTCCGAACTATACACTTGTGATATGTACATGTACGCTGACCATATTTACTATTGTTTGCCAAGTTTCTCTAGAACTACCGACGAAGATATTCTTCAATCTGGGATGCACAAAAAACAAATAAGACCGCCACAATACTATCTGATCTGCAAACAGGCTTCGGAATCAGAAAGTGGAAGGTACTCTACATGCCTTGTTCTGGGAATCGGTTGAGGATGGATTGTCTAGAAAGGAGCCGAAGCTAAAATCTGACATGCGTCTGTCGGCAGCCCTAACCACGGGCCGGCTGCGATGATCACTCGTTCAGCCCCCGAGACGGACATTGGAGCCAAGTTTCGCTATGCTACATGCACTCAGTTCTGCCGGTTATATGACCCTATCCACCCCCTTCCTGCTGAATCTCACTTTCAACATTTCTTAATCGTCATGGTCTTGCAATAGTCGGGCACTGGTATGGCCACCACCGAACCGCCCCCTGACGGTGACCTAGATCGGGGTCCGGCTATCATGGCAGTCACAGCCCTCGCGCTTCGCCTTTATGGGCGACGCCTGGTCAAGGGCTTTGGAGTTGATGATTATATCATGGCATTTACAATAGTAGATTGGCTACACGGATCCATTTTTGCCACCAATGCCATCGTTCACTACATCCCTAGCTTCTGTTCATCATCATGGTCGCCTTTGCCCAACACTTGGCTGTCATCGGGGCTGCCCGCCATGTGTACTACTTGACCACGACGCAACAACTCCAGGTGGTCAAATATGAGTGGATTGCTCAAACATTCGGGGTTCTGGGGTTTGCGACCAGCAAGACGTCGGTCGCACTGCAGATCCGGCGCATCCTCGGACCCAACAGCCGCCGAACGAGGTGGCTACTCTGGCTCATTATAAGCCTAACATATACCATTTATGGAATTGATTATATCTTTAGCTTCGTGCAGTGCACTCCACCGCGTGCTATATAGGAACCGTGGATTCCGCATAAATGCTGGGACCCCAGGATACAAACCGCTTTCTCCCTGTTTTTCTCGGGTTCGTTTGAATAAATGAGATACACCATCTAGCATGTCTCGCTGATTTGTGCAAGTGTAGTATGGAATATTTTCATCAATTTGGTCCTTGCCACCATTCCCATTCCTATTATCTGGCATACACAGTTGTCCGTAAAGCAGCGGGTGGCCGCGTGTGCGCTTTTGGGACTTGGACCACTGTAAGTATCTACTGCCGAGGAAACCATTGATATCTTTATAAGACTGCTTTTTATCTTCTCATTCTTCTTACTGACTGGTTGGGTATCATCACCGACAGAGCCGCTGCGTGTGGCATAGTCAAGATTACCTACATCGTCAGATTACGCTCTCGTAGCGATCTAACCTGTATAGATCTTGGTGACCGTATTATAACTTGCATCGGCCAGAGAAGTGCTGACTGTTGTTTTGCATTGAACTAGGGTCTTCCCTCGACTCGAGTATCTGGTCCACGTCCTATAAAAATTATGCTGGGGTGTGAGTGAGACCGAATTGGCTTGTTTGCCATATAGAGAGGGTACGGGAAGTGTAGAGGGTAGGATTCTGGTAAATGATTATTAGAGTCATCGGGATCAATGTCTCATGCTTAGCACAGAGAAGAATGGAGCTGGCTTAACTTTTCCCGTTCCATTCGTGTGAGAAGTCTCCAGTTCACACATAACCGGAATCCGAGGGCCCCGTCATTGCATGTTAGCAAGGTGCTACCAGGCAGTGGGCCGCCTATATCTGTGGCAGGGCTGTGCAGCCCACACCCTCTCATACGGCGAGCAGAGGAACCTCAACTCCCTCGAAACGGCGTACCTTAAGCCAGAACGGTGGCCTTATGCCGGCTAAAAATAGGCGGCCGAAAGCCCGGATAACCGCTCGTTATATAGCCCCACAAACATCCTGGCACAGGAGACAGACCGAATTTATACGCCCAGGGCTAAAGTTCTTCCACAAGATAATCCTAGCAAGAACTATCTCGCCCTCTCCATCCTTCGAATAGTTGGATCTCAGTTTCTATACCTCCTCCAGCCAAATCCCATATCACGCCAACGATGGTCACCACCGCAACAACCGGCGTCGCCGCTACCTCCACAGCTTGTGGAACCTCCTATCAATACGAACTCCCAGTCCATGACGCCGCCTGTGGTGTGCCCAACCAAGCCAACTACTCGACCATTTTCGACTCGTGCGCGCTTCCCGCCGGGGTGAGACCCTACGATAACGACTGCGCACTCTACGCTCTTGCTGTGGGGCAATCGGTGCAGGATCTAACCGATTGTCTGTACAAGGGCGGCGTCGCCTGGGCAGATGTCTGGTGCACCGGCGACGTCAATTCCACCGCGACCGCCACTTCCTTCCCCACTCCAACAAAAGCAATATCGAGTTCGAGCTCCAAGAGCACTAAGGACTCGAAGTCCTCAACTACAAAGTCCGGGATTGCTGCGACGGCGTCGGCCACGGGAGGGGCGGGTGCTGTGACCCATACAACAAAGTCCGCGGTGGGTTTAGTTGGCATTTTGGTGATGGCTATTTTGTGTTAGAGATATGAATGTGGGCAGCGTCACTTCAACGGACGTATATGGAAAATGCTTCGTAATGCTCAACTTGGGGGTTTCTGATCCATTAGGTTGTGGTCGTGTTCGTGATCCATGGCCGTATAGAATCAAACGCAGCTCCTAAATACCTCTGAGTGTTGTTCCATTGCAAGGCAGTCATGCATGTATTCAAGCGATAAGATATCATGACAAGCAAGACTAAGATCGTTCCCAGAAACCTACTTACTAAGAAATTAAGCACAAGATTTGAGCGACCGCGATCAACAGCAATAGTTAGTCAACCTTTCTACTATCCAGATATTTGGTCGCTAGAAGATATCAGCGGAGTTTATATTACAATTGAAGGACGTGTTATTTTCAGCAATGCGTGATCAAGTCATATATATATTGGATCTATAGATAAGTCATTGCGTCATACCTTCCCATGGAATGCAATCCCCGATGTTGTCCTGCTGTTTGTCAGAGAATCGCGGAACCGAACTCGGGATGGGCGCAGGCTCGGTGGCCACGATATGAACCGGGAAGTGAACTTCGAGGATTCTCGTCTGGACCTGCGCAAATCATGATGCAATCAGAGAACGGTTCCCAATGTCCTCGTATCGGTTTCCCTTCTGCAGGAGAGGACTTTCTAACTTGGGCAGAACTCACCTTCGACGGCCGGCTGTTGAACCCCAGCCGAACCTCAAGCATATGACTGCGCCGCACATTGCACGTCTCGAACGTCGGCGTGATAGCCGTCGGGAGGAGTTGCCCGCCCCAGAAATCATCCGGTATATTGACCGCCGTCCCGACGGGGGTTTCCGCCAGACACACGAACATGCGCAGATTGCTCACTGTCCGCAAGATACGCGAGAGACGCTGGACCCGGACCTGGCCCGCGGTCCGCACCTCCGTTTCTTCGACGATCATCGCCTGAAAATCGTTCAGGATGAGGTCATGATCCGCGGCATTGACCTTGGTAATTTGCACTCTGATGGGAAGTCGCTGGCCGAGGTGGAGATATGCGCCACACATGAGTTCGATGCTGACATGATACGTTGTGGCTATCGCCGCCGTCGCCTCTTGCGCGGTGGTTGCGTTGCTGCTCTGATGGCAGCGGATGATGACGGCGCGGTGTCGCGCGAGAGACTGCCTTGGGGGCAGGGGGCTGGATATGGGGCAGAAGAATATTTGGCGGGACTGCTTCGTTGTGTCAGCAAGAGGGGCATCTTGCGAGATGTGCATGTCACGCAACCTGCTTGATGGACTGCTTCAGGAAGCCGCTGATATGGATGTTGGCTTCGACGGCATATGCAATCTCGGCGGGGGCGGACCGATCACCCGTGCAGGGAGGAAGGCGGCGGAGCAAATGGGGCATCTCTTGCCCTCGGACGGATGGCGCGGGCTCGGTTTGGGAATGTTTCTCCAAAGACTTGGTCGAGTGTGCTTTGTAGCATCCCGATACCGTGGGAAACTGGCAAGGGAAACTTTAGTCACTAACGGTATCACAGTAGTCATTCAATGAGCACGTACTGCTACGGAGAATGGAAATGTGTACTGCTTAGGCCCTAGGGTCCGGAACCTCGAGGTATCTTGATCCAGCTGCCCGCATGGGGGAAATATCTGCTGTGCCTCCTGAATAAGCTTAGGTCTGGTCAGCCTGCATTTCACTGGCACGCCACAGGTAATTTTGAAAATATACCTGGTGACATTCCGTGTGGCTTGAGCCTTCCATTCTCGAAATAGACCGTCCCAACAGGGTAACGGTGATCTGCGATATGTCGACTGGGGAGTCTAGATTGAGGATCAGGTGGCCCGACACGCAATCGTTGTTCGTATATGTCGGCTCACGCTTGTCTAGTTCGATCTGTAACTCCATACACGAGGTAGGATCAAAGAAACTCATCATGAAAGACATGGAAGGTCAGCACAGTCAGAAAGATGAGATTCAAGCCGGTTATCATCTAATGCCAAAGACTTTGACCTAGAATCTTCGGACATTTATCGACTGTGCGAGACATATTTCGTAAGTGACTTTGACTGCCGGCTCAGTGGGCGCATTTTCTTGGCCTTTGCCATGATCCGGAGGAGCAATGCTACGGCTATTTTTGTTCGGGACTACGAGCATAGTATCAAAATGCAGCAAATCTCTTTCCGCTTCAGCTCCCACGTTACACGTCTCTCTTTTCAGCAAGATGAACTTCTTTCCCGCTGAAAGTTGCAGAAGGTGACAACGTGGAAGGTTTACATAGGTACAGTCTCGAGTCGGGAAGCGGGGTTCGGCTTAAGAGCGGGGCGCGCGCTGCGGTGGGCTAAGCGTAACTGGGCACTCCCATTGGTTCGGGATAAGGATGGGGCCTCCGTACCGTCCCTATCATCCAGGCCCCGAGCCTTCGCTTCCAGTCACCTACCTCGTAGCTTGCCTGGATGTTTTCTTCTCGGTCGCGTTCTTGTGATGTTCTGGAAAACGGTCTTTTGAGAGGGCCCTAGTTATTCTGTCACTGCTTTCATAGCCAGCCAATATTGAAGTTTGGGCTTGACGGGTGAGTGAGACCTTGCGGAGCGACCGCGAGACACCCATATTTAACGGGCTGTCCCTGTAACACCACTCTAATGAGGCCAAGCTGTCATTTTATTTACGCAGAAAGGCACGAATGAGATAAAGGAACTTCCTAGTGTATCAGCAGCGTGATCTGAATGCCAAGCCTACATTGATCTCTGACACCCACTGTCTCTGATTATTTTCACAAAAGCAATGGTGCCTCCAGTTAGGGCAACAGGCTAA